CATGCATATGTAGGAATTGGTAATCATGCTTAGCAAAGCTTAGTATAGATTATTAATGATGTATTACAATCCATCCGTTAATATTCGATTTCAATGATATAAATTACATGGTCTAAAAAAATCGAGAATGAAAGAGACAATTTATCCCGATATCTTTTTATTCTTACGGTAATGATGAAAATCCGCTTTATGCAATAATTAATTATTTGTTTCGTCACCCGTATATGTATTCATAGAAAACGGATGTTTTAATAGTTTTATAAATATCATTTCGTGAATATTTTATTCAAAATATTTTTGACTCCCTCGCTAGTTGTACTGCGCGATCTACAACTTTCCTCAACTTCACTTGTAATCAACTTCCTTTGCTTAAATTTGTCGTGTTTCTTTGCATTATGTAAAATAAAAAAAATTAATATTTAATCGTTAAATTCCTAACAATAATATTAATAAATAAATCACGTACATCTTTCTTATTATCACCATCTTCTGCAGACTTTTGCTTGATTTTCTAATTTAAAAACATCGTGTTAGCTTGAAAACGCATTGCATCAAAGCATTAATAATAATAATAATAATAATAAGGAGGAATCTTGCTTTATTATTTAATCGAGGTTCTTCCTCAACCTTTCTCTTCTTTTCTATGACCTATTTAAATTTGAAAAATTTAAGTTATTACATTTCATAATATTTAAAAAATTCATTACTACCTACATCTGCTTCTGTAAAAGTTTCCAAATTAGCCATTTCAACTTCAGCAGCTTTACGTTTCTTTTCTTTCTTTTCTTCCATGCTCTGAATCATTTTCGCTTTCTCTACTTTCTTTACATATTCTTTATTTTCTCTTCGAGCTTGTGATATTTCAGCTTGTAATCTTTGTGTTCTCGCAGCCTTCTCATAAGCTTTATAAATTCGAAAATAAAAGATTAAATCAAAACAACTAAAGTAGATCAAAAAAAAAAAAAAGGTTTAAATGTTTACCAATTTGTTCTGTTAAATTATTCCATTTAAATTTTGCGAGGTATTTAATATTCCATAAATCATCATGATAATAATTCCGTTTATTTCCACCTAATATATTTATTATTTATTTTCACAATAATCTGGATTGATTAACTCATATCAATGGTTTTAGCAAATACCTATTGGTTGAGCATTCAAAGTTTTCGCGATTAATTTAGCAACCTTTTTATCTAAAAATTCAACCCATCCTTCGGTATATTTCTTCTTTTTATTACCACCATATTTTTTTCTTCTTGATCTCGCTTTAGGATCTAAAATTATATTAACAATGTTATAATCCCTTTTTCCTATTAGAACGATAAAAACCTTACTTACCCTCGGGTGCAAGGTAAACTCTCCCAATATTTCCATATTGTCCTAATAAATGTTTTATTTTGGAGGGCTTCATAAATGGTGGAACACATGATAAATAAATAATTCCTGTATTCTCTTGAGCTTTTTTAAACTCTTCTAATTTAGCAGGTGTTAAAGGTTTAACCACTTTCTGTTCTGCATTGATACTGCTTTCCGTCACTTTATCCTCCGAAAAACTTAACATTATTAAAATTTTTGCTTTCGTGATTAAAAAGGCAATTCAATTTTTATAAAAATAAGATGCGTGTAACATCACAGATCGACTAAATGTAAAAATAAAATCATTTCAATTTATAATAACGAAAATTTATGATCTAAATTCCCTAATTACTTTAAATAAAAGCATGGAATTTTTAAATTTTTATTAAAACATGTCAACAAGTCTCGCTTGTTGATCAACTACAAGTAATGTTTTATTTTAATGATCTAAGATTTAATATCTTTGTTAATTAATATGAAAGTGGTATATTTAAATATGAATAAGTAAATAAATATTGATTATATTTAGGAATAAAAGAACAAGACCTGATGAACGCTTACTTAGAACGTTCTTCCATTGTTCTAGAAACCTTTCGAATTGTATGATTGTTAGAGAAAATTACACTAATAAGATAAAGTCAATTAAAAGTTAAATTATTTAATATCTTATTTATCCTCTCCCCGGCCTATCCAAAAACGCGACAAACAAAAAAAAAAAGTAGGAAAAAAAAAAAAAATAGAAAAAAAAAATAGTTAAGACGTGTGAACCTTTGAAATACGCTCAGTGAGTTCTTTTACTTGACGTTCGCTATTTGCCGATGGAGTTTCTTGATCTTCTTTATGAATTTCCCGCGTCTCACTTTCTTGTACAGACTTCACTTCGATTAAATGTTTTTCAGGTTTTTGTATTTCTATTCGTGACTCAACTTTCGACTCTATAAGGACTTTTCTGTCTTCCAATCCTTTGACAGAAGGTTCCTAAATGATTTAAAAATAATAATTTTTATTTAATATAAATATCTAAAAATTAGGAATTTAATATTTTAAACTTATTTTTTCATCGCACGTGCCTCTGGGTAATGTCGGGCAAAATTAAAAATGTGACATTTAACGTGTTGTGTGAAGAATAGATTTTTTTCAAAATTAAAAAGGGAGGGGGTGTGACACGGGTAACAAAAAGGAGGCGATGCATCTGCATCGCACACATGCGATGAATAAATTATTCCTTAAAAATTATATAAAAATAATAAAAAAAAAAATCTTATGACTTTTTTTTACAAGGAGATTTTTACCGTCTCTTCTTCATCAAGTTCTTCCTCCTCCTCTTCATCGGAGATTTCCATATCGTCTAACTCGCCTAATGCGTCCGCGTTACCATTTTCCTCCAAGGCAGATATTACATTTCTAATAGAGATATCTTTCGGGTTGACCTTGTTGCCATTCAATTCCAATGAATTTAAATTTTTAAGATGATTAGAAATAGTTGTCGCCAATATTTCCACAGCTTCTCTATCTAATTCATTATATTGAAGGTTGAGTTTTTCAAGTTTTTTGTTGTGACCTAATGAAAGAGCTTCCGCAAAAGTTATTCCTCCTTTTGTTGATAACAAGCAATCTCCAACATTTAAAACCTTCAAGTTTGGCCATTCGACGAGTGCTTTGGCAAAATTCACAGAACCCTTCTCTGTAAATGTATTGTCTTGAAGATCAAGAATTTCTAGATCTTTACATACTGCCAACCCTTTTGACAAGGTAATAATCCCGTCGGGACGGATACCATTCTGAGGTATACGAACTTCGGTCAATGTTCCGTGAGCGGCAATTGCATTAGCAAGGGCCTGGCTAGAACCATCTTCTAATCGGTTACGACCAGCAATTATTGTTCTTAGAGATGACGTGCGCCCTTCCGAGACATTTTTGTCAGCCGCAGCGAGTAGTGCCTTACCAATTAGAATCCCACCACGTACTCCAAGCCCATTATTATTAAGTTTCAAAACCCGCAACCTTCGATTTTTAGTAAGAAAATCAACCATTGGCTCAGCACCCGCGGGACCAAACGCATTATCGCTAAAATTAAGTTCTTCAAGTTGTTCTTTATCTTCAAGCGCGTCACAAATTGCTTTAACGGCACTTGGAATTTCTTCCCGAAGTCTACTTGTAAATATATCTGAAGCATTAACGATCTAATAATGTATTATAAATTATTCATAAATTCCAAACAAATTAATTTGACGCGTTAAGAAAACAGATTTATTTAGTTTTATGTTTGAATTCCTTCCGGGAGGTTTAGATATATGCCTAACCTTAATTGTATTTTTTTTTTTAAGTGCTCCTGCTATAGCTTGCGCTGCTTCAACACCAAAAGTGTTTCCGCTCAGTATAACTTGTTCCAAATTTTCAATTTCCAATATTGAATTCACAAATTCCTGAACATCTTCCGCAGTGTCTAGTTTCAACCCTTTGCCTTCAATACTAAATACTTTTGAATTAGCGTTCACACTCATGTTGTTTTCAGACTGAAACTTTTTTAATCGGCCGGGGAGAGAATATGTTGGGTTAAATTTTTTTTTTTTTTTTTTGTTGACACTTGTATAATTCCGGTTTAAAGCAAACCACGTGCTGTTAATTGTAACTTTTATTATTGCCGTAGTTATCGATAAAATTTAAACTCCTTTAAGCTTACAATAATATCTCATTTATATTAAATAAATATCGCAAAATAGTATTTGTAGAATTAGTAAACAAACAATTATTTAAACAATCCAATATATTTATCATTCATTAAAGAGGGAAAAAAAAAAAATCTAACAAAATATTGAAAGCATTTCGCAAAACATTTATGCTTAAAAGTCCTCAGCAAAATAAGTGTCTTCATAAATATATGATGTTAGAACAGTACGTTCAGCAAATTTCCTACCAGCCAATGCACGAAGTGCGATACCCGCTTGGTCTATTGATTCATAACGCACAAAAATCTAAAAAAGATTTTGATAAATTAATGCTTATCCGAAGTATAAGAAAGTACTTAATCAACTTTAAATTTTACCTTTCCAACACCACTTGCTGATCCACCATGTCCCGGTCGTGGTATCTTCATATCCACTACATTTCCAAATTTGGAGCATTCCTCTCGAACGTCATCAAATATGTCTAAAGCAAATGTCAAAATTAATTTAAAAACGCGACGACGTAAAATTATTATATCAAGCAGATATAATATAAACCTTCATATTCATCATCTTCTACTAATTCATCAGGAGTGACCATATTAAGTAATTGAAGAACTGTGGTTGGTTGCATTTCGCCGTTACCGGTAGGAATTAGCACCGAAGTAGGTAAAACGGTCGTAACTCCTGCATTTTTAGCGGAGCCTACACTTGCACGTTGCACTACAAGTTTACGATCACCAAGTTCCATGTTATTTAAACCTTGACATGCCAAATCAGTAACGGTCGGATCAACATATTCACAAAACGCAAAACCCTATCCAAAAAAAAAAATAAATAAATAAATGAGTGAATTTCGAATGTTGAACGAAATGTCCTAAAAACAAAAAAAACCTTCGAAAATAACATGGTTACCTTAGATACACCTGTTAAACTATCTTTAACTAGATTGAACGCTCGAAGTTCACCAAAGGACTTTAATAGCTCCATAACTTGTTCATCGTTTAAATAAGTAGGTAATCCTCCAATAAAGATTTTATTGGGACTATCAGGAACGTTAGTAGAAACTACACCAGGGACATGAATTGGCGGTGGCTCAAGATTTTGTCCCGGAGGTGGTTGGTAATCCTTTGGACGCCTTATTTTTAATGATTGTCCTTGAAATGTAATTCCATCAAAAGCCATCGCAGCTGTTGCTTCTTCAGGAGCTCGAAACTATTATATTCGTTAATGCATAAATGAGTTAAAATAATTAAAATAACTGAATATCTCTTTAGTATGATACATACTTCGACGAATGCATAGTTTTTATCATGATTTATTTGAACAGCGATCACAGGATTGCCTGGTGCTGTAGTAATATTTAATTGAACCATAGTTGAATTAAAGAAATCTGATAGACCATTCTTGATAATCAAAAAAAAAGGAACGAAAATTAGTAGACGAAAGAAATGCAAAATAATAATAGTAGTTAAAATACCAATTTACCTCATCAATACCATATGGAATATTCCCAACGTAAAGACGTCTCGCTTGCCTTGCAAGTGAAGCAGTTTGTGCAACTGGACCTGCTGCTCCCTGACTAACTTTGGGACGAGGGGGAAGTTCATGAGTCATTCCCATCATCATAGCAGCACGTGAAGGATCCATTCCCGGTATTACTGGAGAAGTGGGTACTGCCGCTGGCCTTGTACTAGCAGGCTGTCCAGGGAGTGGGAAATGACCTATCGTGGAGTATGAAAATTTTAATAATAATATAAAAAACTACAACCGAATTTGATAAAAATATATATATATATATATATAATCATTAATCATAAAAATGATAACACAACCTGTCGCCTTTACTTGCTCGGCAGTCATTCCTTCATAACCTGGAGGCGGAACATCCCAATTGTTCAACTTCCTCCTCCTCCTAACGATAGGAGTTATCGATCGAGAACGCGAACGATGTCTCGGACTGTGACTACGACGCCTAGAACTAAAGCTTCGGCTTCGCCTTCTTGAACGTCGAGTTCTTCTTAATTCTCTCTCCTCTCTTTCTTCACGTTCACGTCGAAGTCTTTCTCGACTACGATCACGTTCGCGTTCACGATCTCGCTCTCTACGCCGTCGGACGCTTTCAGTATCGCGATCTCGATCTCTATCACGTTCTCTCTCTCTATCACGTTCTCTCTCTCTATCACGTTCTCTTTCCCTTTCCCGATCTTTCTCTCTATCCCTGTCTCTATCTCTTTCTCGGTCTCTGTCTCCTCTGTCTTTATCCTTGTCTCTGTCTCTTTCTCTGTCTCGATCTCTCTCTCTATCCCTATCTCTATCTCTATCCTTGTCTCTATCGCGTTTTCTTTCCCGCCGTTCATCATCTTCTTTGGATCGATTTCGATCATCACGAGACCGATCGCGATGATAGGAAATATGGTCGTCATGTGAACGATTGGCTGTAAATAGGTGGAGCAGATTTATACATAACAATAAAAAGAAAAGAAAAAATATTTTTATGATTTAAGTCTCATTAGTATGACCTAAAAAGAGAGTGTGAAGGTCCCAATGGCTCGAATGCCCGGCAAGATTTCATGCAAAAATATGCAACAAGGTCGATGCTAAGCTGTGCTGCTTAAATAAAGACAAGGATAAAAATATAAAAAACAATTGCATTCTCAATGTATATGATTAGAAAGTAACAAAAACATATTTTGCCAATATTATCTCTGATTTTTTCTCTTGTTTTGGAACTATCAAGGGAAAGAGAACCCACTACGCGTGTGATAATTAACCACAATAATAAAAAAAGAAAGAAAGGAAAAAGAGCAATAACGACATGACGTTAGTGACTATTTTCCCAAAATTGTCGAAATAAGAGCAAAAAGGGTAACAATAAGGTTTTCTTTAAAAAATAAAAAAGTATTTGAGTGTAATATTGCAGCTATTAAAGTATAATTGATCCTTCTAATACTTCTTATCTGGATAAAAATAACCTTCCCTCTCCATTTAAGCTCTATTATAAAATAATAAACCAAAAGGTTATGAACCTTTTTGATTTAATTTATTTTCTTACCCTTTGTATCACCGGCTGTTTCAGGAGTTCCTTCTGATTTTACAAAGACCTCCGGTTCGATTCTTGATAAAAAACTTGTAGCCAACGCTGAGACCCGATTTACAGAATCACCTAAAAAGTTCAAAAATTTCTAAGTAACGAAAAAAAAAATTTGCATATTGAAACTGTTTTTAAGAGGTAAATCTTTAACCTTCAGGCATTTCTTGAGCTTGGTCCTGTGGCTCTTGTTTAATATAAACTTGAGAAGTGTAATCGTCAGTCTGCCTCCAATAATCATTCCGATATTTGTCTTCTTGATCAATATCCATGTTGCAAATGTTTTTGATCGAAATATCTCAATAGAGATGTTATTTTACTCGTACTTTTTGCTGAAATATTCCATAAATACAGGATCGATTTATCACGTGATTTATATATTAACTGATCGAATCTCGGAGAAATTTTTTAAAAAAATTATTTTTGGTTACCTTTATTTCATAATATGGCTTTCAGACTTTTAAGGAATCCACGAGGTTTGTCAGGTAGTTAATAAGTCAAACTTTTATATAAAATTACCTCATAACTTCAATTTAGTAAAGAATCACTTTTATGAAAAGCGACCACTATAAGACCATTTCAAATCTCTCAGCGCAATGTTGCACTTCCCGGGTACTGTTTTAAATCCTTTTTTGTTCTTTTTTAAAGTCATTTGTGTTTATAAAATTGTGATATGATTTTATCATCCATTGATACAATTCATTAAATAACATTCATTATGTGACATAGGATTCGAAGGTATATGACTTCCCCAAAAGACGGTATGCGTTAAAAAGAAAATAAATGAATTGCATAATTTATTATTGGATATTTATATGATATGATATATTATTCAGAGAAAAAAGAGGTGGATCCTAAGCAAAAGGCTCTAAGCATTATCGATTCTCTTCCCGGAAATTCTTTGATCACAAAGACTGGCTACATTACTGTGGGAACAGGATTGTTAACTTTGGCTATCTCCAAAGAATTATATGTGCTCAGCGAAGACAGTTTATTGGTGCTTTCCTTTGCATGTATTTCAGCAGTTATTTATCGTGCAATTAAACAACCGGTTAATGAATGGGCTGATGAACACATGAGTGTATGTAATATATTTTTTCTTGACGAGAGCAAATGAACATAATGGTTAATGAGTGATATTCTACGTTAATATTAAGCGCGTGAATAATATCCTTCGTAAAGCTCGAGAGGATCATAAAAATGCTGTTCAGGAACGGATTGAAACTGTCGGACAGTTGGGAGACATTGTTGATGTTACAAAGGCATTATTTGCTATGTCTAAGGTACTTTTTGATGAAATATTTAATATATTATTGTGTTTTTCTTTGGTTTAATTCTTTAATAAAATTATACGCTAAAAGGAAACCGCTACGTTAGAGGCTGAGGCCTTCGAATTAAAGCAAAAGGCTGCAGCAACTGCTGAAGTCAAAGCTGTTTTGGATTCATGGGTTCGTTATGAGGCTTCATTACGTGAGCGAGAACAGAAAGCCCTATCGGATTATGTCATTGAGCATGTGAAGCAACAATTAAATGATCCTAGGATGGTTCGTTAGTTTACGTTTTATCAATTTTATAAAAATGTCATACAATTCAATAATGTAATTTTTTAAAAATTTCAATAGCAACAAGAACTCCTAAATGAATCAGTCCACGAAGTAGAAAGTATGTATATATACTAAGTTCAATGTATGTTTGTTTAACTAATAATCTAATCTAATTTTTTTATTTGACATAAATAGAAGTCATGAGGGCTTAAAATAAACATTAGAAAATAATTTAAAATTTTTATCGTTAAAAACTTGGTGTTCATTTGAATCCAATAAACATTTCAATACTTTTTCGTTCTTATATGTCTGGATAATCCTGGCAATAATATATCATCCAAATAAGCATTTTATGCGTGCGGTAATACTCAGCTATGTACAATTATTAATTCGGAATTATATAAAGATTCTAGACGTAACCGGATTAAGTGACTTTTATATTTCCACCTAACGAAGGATCTCAAAGAATTTATTACTTGATCTGAATTTAAATATTAAATATGCCATCGGCAAATTCCTCAATTATTGACAAAGATATTAACTCTACTATATGCTTTTGATATGACATATAAAGTTTATCCTTTCCCAAGATCTTTTAACCCACAAACATACATCATTAAATCTAGCGTAATGAAGATTTCTCTTAACAGTTTCTCCAACATCACCACCAACCATCCAAGTATGCCATTATGATCCTTGAATGGTTTATTTATTGTAACATCTAGTGGCTGATAAATGCTAGTTAATCCACTCAGAATCACTGCAAGATCAAAGCTACATTCATAAAACTTTCTTTTTATTGATTCTTCTAAATGATCTTTAAATGAATTGTATACAAGCATTATCAGATTTTTTTGAGACCTGTTTTTCATTCTTATATCATTAAAATAATCTACATACTTTATCATAAAATCAGAGTCCATTCAGCTGTTTTTTTGAATCAAATAACAACATCAGGAGAAATTTGTTTTCCGTATGACATTCACTTTCTTTTGAATATATATATTAGAAGAAGTTTAATTCCTTCTGTAATAATGAATCAAATGGTATTGGTAAGTAAATTTGATTTTATAAAAAAGAAAATCTTACTAGTAACACATATAAGTATACCTGTAAACCATTTTTTAATTTCCTATTATAAATATATAGACTTTTTTTCATCTTTTAAATTAATGATAAAATTATCAGCTATATTAAATCAAATAGATGTTTTATTTATATTAAAAATATTCTAAGATTATTTTAATTTTTAGATTAGTAACAAATTGGTGAAACTTTTTTAATAACTTTTTAGTTTGATTAGGAGTTTTTAAGATATTTTAGTTCATTATTACAATGCTAACCTATATTTTTTATAAAACGGTTAACCAATGATAAGATATTTAAAAATCTTTTGAAAAATCATCATATTTAATTCTTTTAAATTTTCAGCATTTTTATATTATTATATAAGTTATTACAAAATTTTACTTTTTATGTTTTATAATTCAATCATAAAGTTTCTTTTCAATTTCAGAATAAAAGGCTCTTTGTTTAAAGCTAATCTCTACTTTTTCTTTTATTTCAATTATCCAATTTAAATTTGCTATTATTATACTATAATTGAGATTAAAGTGCTTTATTACATTAAAGTATCTATAATTTTTTATATAGGTAATAACTTGTATTTTTATTTGATAAAATACGAAATTTATTTACATTTATAATCTTATATTTAACAATCCTTTTCTTTAAATTGTAAAAAATAAACATTTAATTTAATTAAATTTGTTTGCATTTTACATTAATTAATATGATTAATGATTATAGAATATGTGACAAAAATTGGTATTAAATTATTATTAACAGTTTTAAAAATTCAGTATAAATTTTATTTTTATTTTAACATTTCTATTACAAAAAAAAATTGATTTCTTTATCTAAATACCTAAAAATAAATAATAAATATAACAAAAATATGTTGCTTATTTTTAAAGAAATATAGTATATAATTAATATTATTTATATTTATTATATATAATATTTATGTTAATTATAATAATAATAAATTTGATATAAACATTTTATAATAAAAAGAAAAACTACTAAAAATTAAATAATTACTATATAATATCTAATATTTATATAAATAAAGTAAATCATATTTATTAAATTATTTAATAATAAATTAAATTTTTTTTATTATTCTTATTATTTAAATAATAATATTTTATTTAAAAAAATTAAGATTTAAAAATAGACTTAATTATTTGATTTTAAATGTAAAAGTTTTAGTAGTTAAATAAAATTTAATTAAATTTATATTTTTATAATAAAATATAATAAAAAAAAATAATCAAAGCTATTAACTATTAATTTATATTTACTTTTTTAAATATTTATATTTTAATTTTAATATATATTTAAATAATATTAAAGCTATTTTTTTTTATAAATATATTTATATTTAAATTATTTTATATATATACTATTATAATAATTTAATTTAATGATAAAATTTTAAAATTATTATAATTATAATCAATTTTTTTTAAATATATATTATTTATAAATATTTGTTTTATTTAAATACATAAATTATTTTAAATTTAAGCTTAAATCTTAAATATTAAAAATATTCTTTATTTTATATATATAAGAAATTTTTTAATCATTTTATATAATTAATATATTATTTAAATGTATTTTATATAATGATTACTAATAAAATAATAAAATCTAATATTGATATTAGATTATATAAAGATAATTAATATTAAATAAATATTTTTTATAATAAAGATTAACTAAAATTTTGTAATTATTAAATTCTTTAATTATTAAATTATTTAAAAATAAGTTTTATAAAAAAATATTAATATTAATTATATAAAATACTTTACTGTTAATTAATTTTGATAATGTTAAACTTAATTACATCAATTTGATATTTATTATAAATTATTAATAAAATAATTATATCTATCAAAATATAATTTAATTAGTAATTCATTATTTTGTGATAAAGTATAATTATATAGATAGATAAATACTATTATTAATTATTTAGTGTCTTACTTACTATTGAAAAGAAAAAATATAATCTAATATATATATTTAGTATATTCTATTAATATTTAAGTTATGAATTTAGACAGTTTAATTAGATTTTATTTTAGATTTAACTGTTAAATTTGAATAAAAAGAACATTTTAATTATAAAGATTAACATGTTTTTATTTTTATCATACTTTATCAGTATTATTATAATCTATATCTATTATTAGAAAGATTCAATAATAAAATAATATTACAAGACTATGTTTTGAAAGTTTCTATAAATCAATTTAAAACTTTATAAAGAGATGACTATAATATTTACTTAAAAATTAAATTTAAACTCTAACTCAAATGAGATTAAAATTGATATTATAGTAATTTTTTATATTATTAATTAATAATTACTATTTATTTAACTTAAAAATTTTTTTAATAGTTTTCTTTCTTTCTATTATAAAACACTTATATATTAACATATATATTAGAAGCTGATTAATTAATCTGTCAATTAATATTAATTATATCTAAATATTAAGTTTAATAAAGATATAAAATATAAAACTAAAGATCAATAAAAATTGATTTTTACTAATAAATCTATAATAAATACTATTTTACATTATTAAATAATAAAAAATTTTAACTTATAAAAAGTGATTTATTAGTAATTAGTAAGTTAAATTATTAGTAATAATAAATTGTATTATATAATACAATATTAATCTGATTAAAGTAAAGGTTAGATTGATTTTTGAATAAATTTAATATTATGAATATAAAGTTATTTGTATTATAGTTATATAAAATATTACAATAATAAAATTTGACTAAATTTTAAAACTCAGATCCAATTTTATTAGAATTTAATAGATTAAAATTTCATAATTAGATAAAATAAATGATTGAATAAGAATAGTAAATATTATAATTAAAACAAAATTATATATTAGTATATTTAGTTAAGTATAATTTAATGTTAAACTTGACTTTTAAATAAATTATATTAGATGATAATTTTTAAAGTAATTAATAAGATTATGCTAAAAACTTTATTTAAATAATAATAGGTAAAATAAAATCTAAGATAGATTATTTGAGATGATTATGCAATTAGTTGATATAAATTTTACTTATATTTTATTATCATTATCAACCACTTCTAAAAAAAAATAAATACAATAAGCTACTATATTTACTATTATATGATGATTAATTATTAATATAAATTATTATATATTATATTAATCAAACAATTTAATATAATTTTTAGTAAATTTTTATGATAATAATTTTTATAATATAATTTGATTATAAATCAATATTTATTAATACTTATTTATATATCTCTCTTCCCTCCTCTATTTCTCTGTTTTATTATTTTTAAAAATATTTTTAGTAAAATAAACCTTAATCTGTTCAAGTCAGAAATGAATTTTACTTTATTTAAAATTAATATTTGTAAAAAACTTTTTTTATTTTCATTTTTTCGTTTATTTGATAAAGTAAATTAATAATAAGAAAAAAATTTATAATACATAAATAAATTGAATTTTATTTAAAAATTTATTTAAAATTTTTTGATTTTATAAATTAAATTTTTTTTTTTTTTTTCAAATCCAAATATTAAAGAAAAAGGGTATTAATTTACATTATTATAGAAAATATCATATTAAACATAAATAACTATTGTAAATATTAACGATTAATCAAATAATATAAATTTTAATTGGCTACTATATATATGTTTCAAACAACCACGAGTCTTAACCATTTGGCCATTCGGCTGCAACATAAGCCAAACTTGGTCAAACAGTTAAATGTCAACCCTTTCCTTCAACCAAAACACTTGTATTTGTTTTTACTTAAACCAGTTTGGGAATCTGGAGATTTACCAACGGAGTTTATCGTTGATTTCTGTTTTAGTAAATAATTTTTAATGAGTAACCATTTTGACAAATGACGAAAGGGGAATAGAATAAAGTAAACAATAATAATAAAAATATATTTAGTGTATTATATTCTTCCTTGAACAGGAAATCCCAAAAAAATCACTTACCTCAATAAGAAAATACAGTAATTAAAGTTTGTAACTCGCCATGCAAAATTTTTTATTTTATTTTATTTCGTTTGGCTTTATACCACAACTACTTGGATTTTTATTTGTTTAATTTAAAAAAAATGAAGCTTGAAAATGAAAGAAAGTTTTATTAATTAATGCAACATTTAATTTAATTTTCTATTGACGTTCGGAAACATCAAAACATTATACAAACAACATGATAAAAAAAGAAATTTCGATTTTACCGAGGTTCCTCGATTTTTCGTCATTCGCCATGAATTTGGTTGTAAAATAAACATTCTTACAACTTACTTCCCAAACTGTCCTAATTAAAATGAAAAAAACGTGCTTCAGGTACAATAATTCATGATTTCGAAACCTTCCAGTACATGAAACGTGTACATGTAAACAATGATTTATAATTCATGCAATTTTAAGATTTATAAATAGTAAATAAAGTTGATTTTTATGACAATGATTACAAATTTTTTTTTTTTTAAAAAGATCGAGACCCTTTTAATTTTTTATTTTATTTTATTTTTTAAAAAAGAAGAAAATAGTATAAGATGATAATAATAACGATAATAAAAAAAGATCAAATTTTCTCTATTTATAAAATCAAAGTAGTGCATATCTATCAAATTCCTTAATGAAATGATATCACTCAAATAAATTGTTCTATTTTTATTTTTTAAATAAAATGATCAAATAACCGAAAATTAAAACATGTGCTTAATATAGAATTTAATATATATAAATAAACAAGTGTGTTTATATATATATTTCGTAATTCTTAAATTTTTTTTCGGGATTAGCCGTGCTTAAATATTTACAAAAATCGTTCAACATTTCCAAAAAACAAAAACACAAACATATTTCTAGACCAAATATATTCCCCGATCTAACCCCGTAATTATTTATGTTAATATGTTACCGTGATACCATCAAAAATCTAGAATGATGAATATTTGTAACCATATTAATTTTTTGTAAAAAAACTTTTTTAATCATTAAAAAACACTTAAATGACCTTAAACCAAAAATGTTAATTATTCATTAACCCTGCCTCAAATAATTAAAACAACGAAACACATCATTCATCATCGATAAAAAGAAAATTTCCAAAATAGGTTTAGAATTTTAATTAAAATCAAGTTAGTTGCAAAAACGGTTTCTTTTTTCCCCCCTCAAAATTGGTTAATTGTAAAATGAAATGTTTTAGGTTTCACAATAATATAATATCAAGTTTTAATTTTTATGTTACGTTATATTTACGGATTTACAGGATTAAATATGCGACACACACATCAGATATGCACCAACATTCTCTTTTATGTATTAAAAATTATTTTTAGTTTCATTTCGAGATTGTTCTTGGGTCAATCCCTTGTTGAAAGGATTGTAAATTTGTTTTTCCAAAATAAATCATTATATCATAACTTTCTAAAAAAAGACGGATCTAGTATCGAGCTTATTATACACAACCAAGTTTGTATTCATTCAAAATGCTTCTTGGAACTTTCTTCATGCCGTGAAAACCGAAAACTCCTTGAATTTCAGAATTAATTAAATGCATGAATAAAGAGCAAATTCAACAAACAAGTACGATGGTATCGTTTAAGCAAATGATCGAACCTATAAAATACCACCAATAAATATTCACTCCGGGATTCCGTAAACATGACTCATCAGCCAAGAACTCTTTCAATCGTCACTTCTACTATCACTTGTAATGTAAAATTCGTAATTATCAATAGCCTGATAGCCTTGTAATTGGTTGCGAAGGAATCGTACGACAAATTCTTTTCCTTTACTTAAAAACATTCTTCACTAATTAAAATGAAGCGGCAAGATTTTTTTCATCGCATTACCATGGGTAAACAGTTTAGTCCTTTTTTGCCTGTGCGACGATATTTCTTTTCGATGTTCCGCAGAAAGCGGGTTAAAAGGTGTATAATTTTCGTCATTAATGTAAGGGAAAAACAAATGACGCATTGCAGATTACTAAAATAATCAAAAAGGATATAACAATGCCACAATGTAGCCAAGAGCGGTAACCAGGAAATATTATTTTACATGAAAAATTTGGTAAAACAATTAATTGGCTGATGCTAATAATAAAAAAAAAATTCCATAAAAATAGAATTACTTATAAATTACGTCATTAAGATTTTTTATATTGTTGGAGGGAATTAATTTAGAAATAATCTACTGTTTGTTGTTTTAAACAGTACATATCTACTCTTTATTATAAAAAAAAAAAAAATTAATTAAATGTACTTTACGAAAATATCCATAATTGTAAGTAAGGTGATAAATGTAAATGGGAAGCAGGAAAGAACGTAAGAGATCTACCATGAGCATTTATGATTTTATTAAAAGCAAAACTGGTGCAAAACAATCAATCATTGTGGTGATACCCTCATTTGTCCGATTCAGGAAAAAAAGGGAATCTTAAGAAACACTTCATGAAATTTTTTTAGCATTTGTTCACCACCGAAGAAATCCCACGGTGAATCAATAAATTGCAATCTCACTCGGTAAAGATACCACTCGTCTGGTCAGGATGAGCATTTATTAGAATGTCCAAGAGTTAATAATGTAATGATAAATTTATGCATAAAAATCTTGATAAACTTTATACCTTAAATTAGAGTTTTATTAATTCCTGGTAAAAGCCATGAGTTTTATTCACCAAATATGGTGATTGGTGATAAAATAGAAGTTAAGGATTTCATCATTTTTTTTTTTTTCCATTGTTTAGTAAATCAAAATCTTTTATTTTTAGTACCAAAAATTCCTTAGTAATGTATTATTCCTTATAGTATTTTGGGGACTTGATATTATTTGTTCATTGCCACATGACACAATTACACATTACACAATGTTGTAATGTTTATCATTTTTAACATCCAAACTTGTTCCTTGTCTTGTTCCTTGTTGTTCTATTCCCCTTCCACACCAATTCCACGCATATTTTCTTGCAATTCGCCGCCCCATAAAACTAGCCGTTTGTTGTACGTAATTTGTCAAACTTAATGAAGTTAATGGCTGGTGAGATTATGTATTGTGGTTCGTCAAATTCTTTCTATATCGAAAATTTTCATGTCAAGATGAACGAACTCTTAACGAGTTAGTTGATCTTTGTTTGTTATAAAAAGCGGATGAAAACCCCCATATTTCCGTTGTGGCTAGGAAAAAAAAAAAAAAATTTTTTGACGAGGATGATATTTTCTAGGAAAAAATTATCCACTAATCAAATCGTTATTCATTCGCCACTCATATTTTGTAACTTTGGTAGCACAGGAATAAATAAGCCATTTATTACATGTGATCCAAATTTGTCTTGTTTCAATCATACTTTAAAATTGCAAATGAGGCAACCTCATTCCCATTTTAAATTTTCCGAATTCAAAGAATTGCGGGAATCGATCATAGAAAAATACCACACAATGGGTGCTTTGAGAACATGCAATGGATTAATGTTTTATGTGACATGCTCTATTTTAATTTAACATATTAGGAAATAACCAAATTCGAGGAGGTAATGTACGAGAGGAAAAAATAGCTCGCTTGTCTAACCAAGAGAAATTTGAAAAGTTTATAACGTCTTGTTTTGTTTTCAATGAACTCTAATAATCGATTCTATTATCCACAATCAATTGATTCGTCGATTTACCAGGTATAACTTTTACAAACAAACAAATCAAAAAAAGAAAGGCGTTCAAAAGAATCACGCACGCAAGATTTCCCAAAGCCTGCCTCCACTCGACCTAATACAACTAATTATAATTGAATAAGAAATTATTAATTAGCTCAATGGTAATTTATTTGTTTAAAAAGTTCCCACCAAAGTATGTTCTATACAATTTCCTTAAAGGCAAAATTATCTAAAAATAGAGGATAGTGGCATAGTGGCACATGTAAAGAACCCAGAATTTGGTAAGATGTATTGTGTTGCTTGATTTTGATACCGATGATTTATATCTATTTTTATCGCGGCCGTTGGGTAACGTAACCATCACGTCAAATTATCACCGTGATGTGATTCTAATTTTGGATTCTTTTTGTAATAATTGAAAAATGTAATTTGCTCCAAAAAAAACTCCAAAAATAACTTTCTGATGATAGATGCATCAGGAAGATCATTCATGTCTTAATGTTACTTATTTTATTTTAGTTCTCAAAAAAATATAAAAAGCTCTTGTTTGTTGAGCATTCCCATTTCTCTCAACACTTTCAGCGTGTTTAAAAATACTCGAGCTATTTTGAGAAGTTCATATTTTTTTATATATATATATATATATACATGTGAACTTATATATAAAAAAAGCTAAAATATTTTGCTTCCTGTTCCTCTTTACCTTCTTCTATTATTTGTTCGTCTTTTGAAGCTGATAAAATCAATTTTTTAAAGAGCCTTAATAAAAAATTCTTTTTTTTTTATACATCGTTAGTCTATAATTTATACAACGATACTATAAAAACTCTGTTAAATGGTCTATTTATAACTCGTGAAAGTTTCCCGCCAAAAAAATTTTCTTTTACTATTTTGATAATTACACGAATCTTTTGGCCAATCATCTCTTTATCTTCTATTTTTAAACGTTATACATATTACCTTGATATCAATAACCATTATTATTATTAATTATTTAACGAAGATTTCTTTTATCACGATTTATATTGATCATTATTATTTTTTCTCGGAATACGATTCGCATTTTACGATTATCCTACATAGGATAAAAAAATATATATATTTATATATAACCCACCATTCTCTCGCTTAAATTTCGTTCGTAATTCTTCGTAAACTTTTTTTTTATTTTACTTTTTTTTTTCGTTTTAACGACTTTCACAAACAAATACGTAATGGATCTAGTTCAAGATATCCCCACCGAATATTTCTATCCAAATTTCAATCAAAAAGATCTTACACCTGAAGTTGGTTATTATCAACCTGAAACTGCTACTTTTCAACCTTCGTTTGTTGAAGATTTTAACTTTTACCAACAACAACACTTTGATTATACCCCATCTTATGGTTCACCACAGAGTTCATTTCAAGAAAGTTTAGAATCCTCTCCTTCGCTTTCAGATTATGAACCTTCATCTGATGGTTATGCATCTTGTATAAGTTCTGGACTTTCTTCACCAAATCTTCCGACTGATACGATGTACTTTGAACAAGAGAGAAGGAATTCTTTTGAATACACTTCGGACTTTTCACAGATCAATCAAGAAACCTATGAAATTGATGCACAGTTTCAACAATTTGGCGATTTAGCTGTTGAACCGGTTCCTTCGCTTAAACTCGACACAAACATTCCCCCTTCAAATGATCAGACCTCTGCTACGGATAATTTTTTCTCTGATACTACCTTTGCTCATTGCTTATCAGTTGAACCTCAGCCAATGTTTAACTTGGTACCGGCAACCCCAATCACTCCCACAAAGGCTGCTGCTATCGCTGATAGCCTTTACCCTTATACAATTCAACTTCCCCCATTACAATCTACTTCTGCACCTACTCCCGATGAACAATTATCAACGACCATGTCAATTACAAATTCTCAAATGAACATTATGGAACAACAAGTTCATCTCGCTGAAGTTCAACAACAACAGCAGCAACAACAGCAGAATCAACAGCATCAGCATCAGCAGCATCAGCAACAAGAAGTTCAGCAGGAACAAGCATCAGTCAAACATAAAGTTACCAGTAGAAAATCAGATTCAAGTTTATTACGTGGCAGAAACCATTCTACGGTTTCTCATCGGGGTCATCGTAAATCACTTCCAAGTGATATGGTAGAAAGGTTATATACAATGAATTTGGCACCTCCAAAACCTGCTCGTAAATCTAAAGTCGCTGCACCTTTTGCTTGTCCTTACGAGGATTGTCCAAAAACTTTTACTCGTCAGTATAACCTTAAAAGTCATTTACGTACTCATACCGACGAAAGACCTTTTCTTTGTGGTTATCAAGGTTGTATGCGAGCATTCGCTAGACAACATGATCGAAAGCGTCATTATAATTTACATTTGGGTTTTAAGCCTCACGTTTGTAGCCATTGTGGGCGTGCTTTTGCTAGATTAGATGCTTTGAATCGTCATCTTCGTTCAGATGGTGGTGCTCCTTGTGCTCAAGCAACTCTTCCAAATGCTGGTGCAAAAAAAATTTAAACCTGTCAACATGTAAATGAATGACATTTTTTACGTAGTCCAAAAAAAAAATTTTTTTTTTTTCGGTTTCGATTTTAAACAAACTTAGATTTTTATTTATGTAATTAGATTTCACAAACAAACAAACACAGCTGGACTTTTGTAAATAACTTTTTCAACAAAAAAAAAAAAAAAAAAATTTACTTCGATGAACTTTATTCGTTTTTTTCTAATTTTTTTTTTTAAAAAAAAAAAAAAAAAATGGCAAACAAAAATCTGAAAAAATCATGTAATCGGCGGCAAAATCTGAATTTTTTTTTTTTTTATATTGGAATTTTTTTTCGGCGTTTCTTATTTTTCATCACTCATCTTTTTCATCTTCACATTAATAAAAAAAAAAATTTTTTTTTTTTTTTTACAAAAAAAACATTTAATTACTTAGTTAATTCATATAGAACATTGTACCTTTTTTAGAATTTATAAAATCACAAGATTTTTAATATGAAACAAATAAATAAGATTTTACTCCTCACTATGGTTTATTTTATTTTATTTTAATTTTTTTTTTTTTTATTCTTTTTTTTAAAATAAAAAGGGTAACTGTATTTAATTTGTACCGAGTTTTTAAATTAATATTAATTACTGGTCTCGGGTTTTGGCGGGCTTTAATTTCCTTTTTTTTTTTTTATATTTGTTATTATACATTATCTTATTTGCATATAGTTAAAAATATATACATACATATATATACATAGCATTATTAATAAAATAACCAATATTTATACCTATCAAAAAAGTCTTTTTTACTTAAAATGTGAACAATATATCGTTTTGAAAGTTCTTCCAATTTTCGTAAATTTCGGGAAAAGCATCAAATTAATTACATTCCTTGGTAATTAATTCAAGTTTCGAATAAATTCTTTTTATTCACTATTCAACGAAAAATTATTTCCGAAAGAAGTTATAAATACTGCGGGTCAATTTTTTTGATAAACGCCCTATTTCTTTTTTTAGATGTTAATTTGAATGAAAATAACCTCCTGAAATGAATACATTCATTTAAACAAGAATAATTGGGGGTTAAAAATTCCTCTATGAGTTAATGACCTTCTATGACATCCTAAACTCATTTAGACCTTTTTCACAGGATCTAAAAATAAAAAAGAGAAGGTGATGGTTGAGCGGACAATCAAAAATAAAGATAAAAAAAAAGAGGAATTTAACCAATTTCTGCCTACTATACTGGTCTTTCGCCATATGATTCCAAAAAAATCATCCTATCCTCATATGTAATGTTTATTTCTCCGTTGATCCGAAGATCAGAAATCTTTAAAGAAAAGGTTCAACCTGATTCGGATTATTTGCTATAACAGAAACTAGTTTTAAAATCGAAACGAGTTTAGCCTATTAATTTTATAGAGGTTTGGTTATACAAATTCCTTTTATATTAACAAAAGAAAAGTAGAATGATTATTAGATTATTTAAGTATTTAATTTAAATAAATTGTTATAATAATTATAAAAAAAAACCAGATTATAAATATAATATTAAATATAATATTAAAAAATTATAAAGAAAAATATATAACAATTTTTAAAATTAATTAAATTTTAATAAAAATTTCTTTCAAGTTCAATATTAATTATAAAAGAACTAATTTAAAAAAATTAAAAAAAGTAATATAAATAATACTATAAAATTTATCAATAACTTGTATAATATTTTTTTAATAATTTTTAAAATCAAAATTTTAATCAATATTATTTATAGTTCTATTTTAAAATATTATAATTAATTTAACATTTTTAAGATTTATATAATCATTAACTTTTTTATTTTATATGTTTAATAATCATATTAATAATCTTTATTTTTTTAGTAGTTTTATATACAAATTTGCTAAAAATTAATTAAAAATTATTTATTAAATATAAGATTTTATTTTAAGTAAAATTAAAAAATTTTTTTTTATATTAATTAATATAATTTAAAATTACAAGTTTTAATTTTTTTGATTAAAATATTTTTTTATAAAAGTTAAATTTTAATATTTTTATTTCTTTTTTTATATTATTAAAAAATATAAAAATAGAATTAGTAAATAATCAGATTTTAATAAACTATCTGATTTAAAATTATAAAATTATAGTATTTTAAGATCTTTAAGCATAAATTACAATGTAAATTATATTAAATAATATATTATAATAATTCAAAAATAATAATAATAATTACTATATAGAGTAAAAGAAAATATTATTATAGTTAATTCTTGAAGATAATTATATTTATCTTAATTAAATATTACTAATTCATTAATATTTAAAATTATTATTCAAATTATTAAATTCAAATTAAAAAAAATTTTTTAGACCTAATTAATATTATAGATAAATTTGAAATAATTAATATTTCATTTTTAAATTTAAAAAATTTTTAAATATAAACTTAAAATTTGATTTATAATTTGATTATTATTATATAGTATACTTTTTTATTTACTATATTTACTTTAATATTATATTAAAGCTAAGAGAAAAATTTTGATCTGAATTTAAGTTATTATTAGTTCTGATAAAAAAAAAATATATAAATATAAAACATATTCTGGAATATAATATAAAAATGCTTTATATTTTAAAAAATATAATAAGTAATATAAAGATATAAATATAAAATAGAACTTCATAATCTAAGATATCAAATATAAAAAGTAATAAATACTTGATGTAAAGATGGCGCCTCAATTAGTTGTAACAGGTGACAAATAAGCATCACAATGTTGCAACAAATTGCAACATTATTAAAATTTAAGTTGCAACAGGTGACAAATAAGTGTCACAATGTTGCAACGCCATCTTTAACTTGATGATTATAATAATTATATTTTTATTATTAAAGATCAAATTATTCTAGAAGTTTTTTTATATATATTTTATATTAAACAAGTATTTTATTTAATATAATTAAAAATAAAATTTTTATTTTATTTCTAAAAAGATCTATTTTTCATTTAAAATTTCTTTATGTTATATTTTATCAAATACTTTTTAATTCAGAAATTTAAGCATTTATAATAATTGTTTAATCAGTATTAATTGAAAATTTTACTATTATTTGATAAATAATAAATAATTAAATATTCAGAAAATTTTTATTATAAATTATATGATAAAACTAATATTATTTTAAAACAACTACTTTTAAAGAAAATATTATATTGTAAAAAAATATAGTAATAGAATTTAAAACTACAATAAAAAAGATATATTAATAAATTTATTATAATCATTATAAATAATGTACTAAATTAAGAATACTTAGAAAATCCTAAAATAAACTATCTCAAAAAAATATTTCTAATTGTTAAATACATGGTATTCATTTATGAATAAAAGTTATCAGTTATTATTTTTATAATCATTAGAGTAACAATTGAAATACTTTAATACTTATAATATGAAAATATAGAAAAGAAATTGCTTGATTTTGCTTTATAAAATACAATAAAATTCTTTATTTTCTTGTATTTATTATTTATATTATATAAAATTAGTTATTTAATCTACTATTATTAAGAATAACTTAATCTAAATGATAAAAATAAAATTAATTATTACTAGTGATATCCCTTAAAATATTTTTGAAAAATTAAGAAATATTTTAAAATTATTTGCTATTTATATTAAAGAATTTGAAAGAAATAAATCATTAGTTTAACTATATATCTTGAATATTAATAATTTACAATACATATATAAAATAATACTGATTTATTTAATAATTAAATAATATGATCTAAATTATTAGTAGAATTATTTTAATAATCTAATTATAATTATTATTTATAATTTAGATTTAATATATTTTAATAATTAACTTAATGTACATTAATGTGAGATATATTATTAAAAAAAATTATACAATTAGTAAGAAAAGAATAATAAGATTTAGATTTAATAAAATTTGCTGAATATACTAAAAAATAAGAGATTTATATTTAATCATTTGTAAAGAAATATAATTAAAAATTTATTAATTAGTAAATTTAATAAAAAAGATATCTAATTCTTAGTAAAATAAAGAGTAAATAAAAATCCATTGATTGGCTAGCTAAATACTTATTTTCATATATTAATAAACTAATAAAATTATGTTTATATAACTTGTAATTTTTCATTAACTTTAAATTAACTAATAAAAAAAATTTTTTAACTAATAATGATATATTAACTTTCTTTATTTTTCTTAAAATTAACTATTTATATTTTTTAATATAATTTAATATTTTCTTAGTATTATTAGTATTAGAAATAGACATTACTTCAAGTATAGAAAATATCACATAAGAACTGTCAGATGATAATGTGCAGTAATGATTAACAATTACAAATCAGAAAAATATCAAGGATCTATATGATTTATCTAATTAATCAAATTCACCTAATTCTTTTGATACTATAAATTTTAATTATACTTATATAATTATATAATTGTTCTTCTATCTTGTATGATAAATGATCAAATTTAATGTTATCAAGGATGTATATTGATTTGAATATAGAATAAAATGATAATCTAGTAAAATTGTTTTTTCGTAAAACAGAATTTTTTGAAAGAGTATCTAAAAGTTATTTGTTGATTAATTTTACAATTACTTTACAAAGGCATTCTAATAAAGTTATAGGATGAATGTTGTTCAAATTATATTCTCATAGTTTAGGTTTTAGAATTGGATAAATGAATACCAAATTCTATCAGTCAGACATATAAGAAAGTTTGAAGCAGGTATAAATGAAGATCTAAAAAATATATTTCATTTTAAAGTCTAAATGTTTCAATATTTCATTTAAAATTTTGAAAGGACCAGAAGCTTTGTCATTGGATAATGTTTAGAGAAGTTTGAACTATTTGTTTTCACTTAATGAATCTATAAGGTTATCATAAATTTAAGGATTAATTGTTTTAATAAGCTTATACCAATTTTTCTAGTCATCAAGAAATAATACAAAATGGTGCC